AAATAAGAATTAATGGAGATAGAATCATCAGCAAGCAAGTACTGTTTTATCGATTTTGGAGTGGAAAAATGAACTTTATCTACTTCCCCTAAATCAATTGGGGGGTGGGGGGGGGGGGAATGAATTAGATATTTAAAAAATTCTTTAAGAAAAAAAAAATCCTTTAAAAACTTTTTACACCTACACATGAGAATCGACACATCATATGCGAAAATAAGCAAATTTCATAACAAAGAAAAAAATTAAAATTTTCAACCACACATAATTGCAGAAAAATAAAATGCAAAAAATAATTAGAATGAAGACACCAGAATTTATAAGGTTTTGATTAACTTGACCTACGTCCAACCTTTTTAAACTCCCTCTCTAAGTATTGCACTAAATAATAGTGACCCTTATTTTCCTCTCACAATAAGGTGAAGAAGCCCGTATAAACGCTGTTTCACCAACCTAGTGCGATAGAGAACCATGACTCTTTTACATGCAGAGAACCTGAACTCTATTTTTACCTTCTAGATGATGGTCAGGGAACCACAACTCTATTTTTACCTTCCAGGTGATGGTTAGAGAACCACGATCATTGCTGAAGAACTTCTTTTTTAGAGCCACACATAATCCAGGAAGACGCTTGTAGATACTAGGCAAGATTCTTGCTTGGAGCAACCTTGTGAATCCCCTCACAATTTCCTCACCAAACCTCCCACTCTTCTCTTACAAAGCTCTCATTCTTCTCTCCCTTAAGGCTCTCTCTCTCTTGAAGTCTAAACAACCAAAGATTTTGGATCAGATTTGCAACATGTATAACGGTCTTGAAAGCATTGTAGGAAGGGTTTAGCCCATTAACTTTGTATAGTATAATGTTTTTTGTTCAATGGAGAAGCTTGCTGCAACAATGACTTCGACCTTCTACTAATTTTAGATAGACACTACACCATTGCTTTATCTTTTATTTGAAGTAGATGAAGTTCATTTTTCACGTAGATAGCGTGAGCGATTTGTGGATTGGAGTTGATGTTCAATGGTGAGCCAAATATTATGAGTGTTATCTAAGTTAATTTCATAAGGAAGCAAAGTAAGGGAAGTGGTAGAGGAAATAGTTGCAGCTAAGTTTTGATCAATGAACATCCATGTTATATTAAAATAAGAATTAATGGAGATAGAATCATCAGCAAGAAAGTGCTGTTTTATCGATTTTGGAGTGGAAAAATTAAGATACCCCTCAAATCCATTAGCAATAAAGAGTTTGAGGATGTGAAACCACCAAAGAGGTGGATTATCAGTGTTTGATTGAATATTAATCACTAATTTTATATTGGTAATGAGAAATTTTAGCTATAGAGGAATGTGAATACCACACATTTTAATAAGAACAACATTAAGGGAAGAAGAGGTAGAATCTGAAGACTGATTCATTCCAGATGAAACATAGAGAGAGAGAGAGAGAGAGAGAGAGAGAGAGAGAGAGAGAGAGAGAGAGAGAGAGAGTAGAAGGCTAAAAGGAGATACAACAGATGCCATAATGAAGCTCTAATACCTTGTTGAATTTCAGCATGTTAGCATAAATAGATTTGCAAGAACATAAAAATGAAAGATGTATAGTAGCAGAATTTTACTCATTTGTACTTGTCATCACAACCTTTTACATATTACAGAGAGTATATATAAAAAAGATAATGCAAGAATCAATAGAGGCATTTAATAATCAATGGTGTTGATGAATTGAGAAAAGAAAAACAACGATGATAAGTAGTTCTAGAAAGTGTATTCTGCACATGTATGTGGAGAGGAGCACTTTTGTAACCAATTTGATGTGGAGAAGAGAGTGAGAGCCTGAGCATTGAGCGAGGGGTGAGTGTCAGTTGCCCGTTTATAGAGACTGCATAGTCAAAAAGTTTATCACCTCGCACAGCCACAACTTTTGATCGAAAATTAAAAATAAAATAGCGAGTAGCCAATTAATGGGTATAGGATTACACAATGACAATGAGCCCATCATTCAGGCACTGATTCGCTGGCCATGTCATCGTCTATTTAAATATTTTGATGATTTATTTCTTTATTTAAAAAAAAATAATATAAAAAATTTTCATAACCACACATATATTCATGCGATTTTAAGCCAATTTGACGTTGTTCTCTTATTGAACATCTTGAGTAAAAAAAAATTGTTCAATAAATTATATTTATTTTATAATTATGAGAATATGTTAGAGTTTTGATTATTTATTAAATAAATCTTTTGATCATTTGGTACGAGTTAAATTTCTGATTTAAGTTTTATTTGAAATATTTTTCTTATTGTTTTTTCACAATAATTTTTTAATAAGAAATTTTTTAAAATTAATATAAAAAATAATGAAAAGTTATTTCAAATGAAGCCTAAAACGTCAAAGGCTTCTGAAGGAGGGCCATGACTACCGTATAATGCATTATTCTGCTAAAATTATATTGGTCGTCTGAGGATGTTTAATGTTTGCAAAGGGTCAGCACTGTAAAAATTTCTACTCAAAATGACTTGTCCAGTTTAAATTTTAATTCAAAGCCATGGTGTTGGCTGTAAATATGAATTGGTTATCAGTGTGGTAACATAAAAAATTTTCATTATAATTGGCACAGAAACTACTGTGATAACAGAAAAATAATTTTCATAATTCTTATCATCAAGCCAACAAAAAAAAAAAGTAAAAAAAAAAATAAAGAAAAAAACAGTAGTAACGATGCTTAAATTGAAAATTAATTACATAATCAAACAAAACCGAGAATTAATGATAGGTTCTTCATGCATGATAATTTGTGAGGAAGAGGATAATTAGGGTGTCACTGTTAAAATCCATTTTCTAAATTTTCCTCATCATTCATTAATGCACTGATCTCATCATTCTGATTCATTATTGGTTCTACCGTCAGTATATCTGCATGCCCAAATTTCTTCCGCAAACTCTTTGTGAGTTTAATCAAATCGATCCCATCTCCTATTATAATAAAATGATCTTTGTCTTCTCCTTCCACAGCAATTGACTCCACTCCTACATCATAAGTAAAATAATATAGAATTTTGATAAAAATTGACAAAAAAAAGAAATGTATATCATAGCTTGAGCAAATGAAGATAGATTTATAACAGTTAAAGACTTAAAAGCACACCTTTAAAGGAAGAAATCGAATGCATGGTATTTCTAATCAGGCCTTTGTCGCAATTAGTTTGCACTTTTATCGTTATCTTTTGCTGCACAATTAACCCTGAAGAATATTAGCTAAGAGCAGAGAGAGAGAGAGAGAGAGAGAGAGAGATGAGCTTACCTTCATCTTCCAAATGTTTATCAATGATGTTCTTTACTTTTCAAGAGCATAAAAAACCTTATGCAAGAAGAGAAGTTATATGCGGTGTTGTGAGGGGAAAAGCAAAGTTTTAACCCATATAAATAGGATTTAATCTGGCGAACCTTATTAATTTGATGAGAAATGTTTAGGAAATTTCTTTACAAGTCTTGAGAAGTTTAACTCGTGAACGCAGCAGACCAAGTCATCTCTTTGAGTAATAATCCATGCACGGATTGATTTATTATAATTATATGGCTTTTCATGACATCTTTTATTATTTTACATTTTGATTTATCATTATTCTTCATGATGCATAAAAAATAAGTGGCATCTAAAAAATAAATTAATATTTTTCTTACTTATACATTAAGAAATGTATTGCATAAGTAATTAACTATGCATTCAAATAAATAAATCAGTTGTTTTGATAATATATTAATTTTTTTCACAAATTATGCTCAAAATTTGGGAAGGAATCTTAAATTTTTGGAAGGTTGAATTAAAGTTCATTTGTAATCGTTTAACTAACTAAATAAACAAATTTGAACAGTATTTTTAATACTCGATCCTTAAATAAACAAGCTTGAACATTAATGTGTTCAGTTCATTTATGTTTACGAACAACATCATTTGAAGCTCGTGAACATGATTGACATTAAGCTCAATAAGAAGCTCGGTTCGTGTTCGATCAATTCATAACTCATGAATAAGCTCGAAAAAAACTTGATTAATATTTAATTATAAAATTGATGAATATATATAATATAAATATTTTATTTTATTATAACATAATGATATAATTATTTTAATTCATAAATTTTAAAGTAATTACATGTTATAATATATGTTGTAGTTTTAATTTCCTTACTATTGCTAATTTATTATATCACATCATTAGATTTTGCTCATTTGATAGCTCAAGAATATTACTCATTAGATTTGTTGATGAGCATGCTTGTTTGATGTTTATCACTTTTTTTTTTTGAAAATCTTTCCCCTCTTTTGACGCCGGAGCTGAGACGTAATTGTATTAAACTTCAGGCTATGTTAAGTCCATTTAGTAGTTATAGGGCTATAGAGGTGAAATTCTTTCTTTTGTTTTGTGTAGCCTAGTATGTTCCTTCTTTTGGGCTATAAATAGGTAGCCAATGTCATGTAAGAGATAGATTGAGATGAATAATATTTGAGTAGTTTTTACTCTGTTTTTGGGTTTCTATATCCTGAAGGATTTCAGGTGGTGATCCCTCTCTTCCAAGGAGTTCTTGGAGTTATCCGACGACCGCCACCGGATTGTCGACGTGGATTCGTCGAGACCCCTCCGGTCCGGTGTCATCTTTTCTTTTTTGTTTATATATATATATTAATGCTAATAATGATAAATAAATAAATAAAGTTATTCGAATAATAATAATAATATCAAAATTAGTGTTACTAATCAGCACTAATAATGATATTAATATCATTAAGAGGATGAGAGGAATTAATTTGGGTCGGGTATGATCAAGTGAGGCTCTAATTTCGAATTTGATCAAGAGCTAGGTCGGCTTGATGTGGATTTTCTTCGAATAAGAGAGGAGATTAGGCTTTGGTTAGCTCTTCCTTGCGATATAGAGGAGTTGGCTAAGAGGTTTAAGGGGTTCGGCTGCTTTGGTGTGTGAGAGATCGAAAGATAGCTGCAGATGAAGGTAAGGGCTCGGCATCGGTTTGAATGGGGGAGCCGAAGTCAGACGTCTGATCTGATGAGCTTGGTCGCGACAGATGAAGGTAGGGGCCATGACTTGCAGATCTGGGAAGAAGAAATGATGACTGGAAGGGAGAATAGGAGGTTGAAAAGAGGTTCGTCCGGCTTGGAGATCAGGAAAGGAGGATGAAGCTTCAGCCCTGAGATTCATCACTAGAAGCTCGCGTAATAGGGCAGAGGAGTCAAGCATGGAGAATCGCAAGTAGCAATGGGCTGTTGGTGTGTAAGGAGAAGCCTTCGGCTCCTTTCTTTTCCACTTCGCTTTAACGACATTGGACGCGATCAACGAGCTGTGGTGCGGGAAAAAATCACTTAAAACCGGCGGTTTGAACCGCCCGTAACCCGCTGGTAAGAAATATTACCATTAGACTAACAAGCGGTTATTTGGCCGTCGCTAATTCCGGCGGCTGTAAATTAAATAACTGCCGGTCGGAAATTGATGAATTTCTTGTAGCGGTAGTTGCAGCGGGATTCGCGGATGTCTTCAATTGATACGAGGTATATAAGACATTATTTGGGATTTCGGGGATCTGTGGCAGAGTTCAGGTATGATGTGGAAATTCTTATACCTATTTTTTTACCGTAGAGGTTAACACTAGTCTGTACAGGAATTAGCTTCACGGTAAATTTGAGTCAAATATTAATTGGACTTAGCAAGACTATTTAATCTCTCTAATGAGGTAGAAATTATAAGGATTCCCAACAACACTACCATTAATTAAATTAAGTAAAGCATAACATTGACTTCCACACAAATCTATTTATTGCCCAAAGAATAACACATCTGGAGCCATAGGAAAGAGTTGTAAGTTCCGCCTATTTTTAAATACACACATACCCATTTTTCATTATGTTGATCTATGAAAATTTGTGTCATTACAAATCAACATATATATTTTTATAATGAATTCTCATATAAATATAGGAAGTAAAATTTTCTCACTCTGCCCGTTGTAAATTTCTTAACCCACAACATAAATAATTTTCATTTTTCAAGCTTCAAAAATTTAAGATTACTTCATTAATTTTGCGCATAGTTTGCGAAAAAAAATTCTTTTATTATCAAAACAACTGATTTACTTGAATAGAACATTAATTACTTAAGCAATACATTTCTTAATGTATAAGTAAGAAAAATATTAGTTTAGTTTTCAGATGCCTCTAATGTCTTATGCATCATGAAGAATAATGAGAAATCAAACGTTAAAATAATAAAAAATGTCATGAAAAGCCATTATGATAAATGCTAGAAGTGATGTCTTGGTATTCCGCATTGACGAGTTAAACTTCTCAAGAATTATAAAGAAATTTCCCAAACTTTTCTCACCAAATTAATAAAGTTCGCCAGATTAATTAAATCCTATATATATGGCATAAAACATTGCTTTTCCCCTCACAACACCACATATAACTTCTCTTCTTGCATAAAGAATATCATCGATAAACATTAAGAAGATGAAGGTAAGCTCAAATCTCTCTCTCTCCCTCTCTCTCTCTCTCTCTCTCTCTCTCTCTCTCTCTGCACTTAGCTAATATTCTTCAGGGTTAATTGTGCAGCAAAAGATAATGATAAAAGTGCAAATTAATTGCGAGAAATGCCTGAGAAAGGCCATGCATTTGATTGCTTCCATAGAAGGTGTGCTCTTAAGCCTTCAACTATTACAAAAAAGAACAATCAACTTTCATCTGCTCATGCTATGATATACATTTTTTTTTTTGTAAATTTTTATCGAAATTCTATATATTTTTTCTTATGATGTAGGAGTGGAGTCAATTGCTGTGGAAGGAGAAGACAAAGATCATTTTATTATAATAGGAGATGGGATCGATTTGATTATACTCACAAAGAGTTTGCGGAAGAAATTTAAACATGCAGAAATAATGGTAGTAGAACCATTAATGAATCTGAATGTTGAGATAAGTGCATCAATGAATAATGAAGCAAATTTAGAAAATGGATTTTCACAGTGGCGCCCTAATTATCCTCTTCCTTCACAAGTTATCATGTATGAAGAACCGATCATTAATTCTGGGTCTTGTTTAATTATGTAATCAATTTTCAATGTAGGTTTCGATTTTTTTTTTGGGTCTCTTTTTGTTTGTTTGACGATGAGAATTACGAAATTTGTTTATGCTATCACAATAGTTCCAGTTAGAACTGTCTTGTTGAACAATCTATATTTACAGCCAACACCATCGTTGGGAATTAAAATTTAAAATAGACAAATTATTTTGAGTAGAAATTTTTGCGGTGGTGATTCTCCGCAAATATTAAAATTTACAATATAAAAAAGTAATGTTCTTCAATTATTAGGCTGTGATCCTTTCACAGCTGTTTGGATTTTCACTAGCTGTATGAAATGAAGTGATGAAACTATGCATAATATGTATGATAATTAGAACTTTTAAGCATCCATATCATCTTCAATAATATCAACTATTACAGGTGCAGAATTGAAAGAATCAGGTATTGGGTTGGCTTCTGAACAGTCCTTGCAGCTGAAAATTAGTTTTTGGAGAAGCATTTTTAGTTTTACTATTGTAGTCATTAAAAACCTTTTTATTCGCATTTCGTCTATCTTTGAAATAAGTTGTATTTGAAATTGTGATAAACCACAAGTAATAACAACAACAATGACAAGCTTTTAACCAAATATATATGTTTGGTCCGCTAAATGAATCATTTTTCTCTATTGCATTATATTAAGAGTCTAATGCTCATTTAAATTTAATAAAAAAATAAGTAATTTATAATATTTTCTAACCAAGTATTTTTATGTTTACCTCTACATTTCTTAATATAGGTTTGATCTAATATATCTACACCCTAACAGCATGATCGAAAAAGCCGTTGTTTTATGTTACCAAACAATCTAAGGCTACCATATCTAATCTTATATTTCACTTGAGCTACTCCACCTTTTTCATGTATATACTCGTTTCACATTATGTCTCTAAGAGTAAAGCCACTCATCCACTTGAGCATCCTTATCTCTATAACAATTAATTTTATTTTATGCTTCTTTTTTATATCCCATCATTTGACACTATAAAACATTGTAGATCTTAACATCATCATCTTAAAATTTTTCTTATGTTTGATGAATACTTTTCTAATCACATAATAGGCATGCTGCATTCCTCCACTTCAAAGAATGTCCCATATATTTCACCATCACTTTGAATAATAGACTCGAGATATCTAAAATGTGCATTCTTTTTTAATAACATGATCACCCAATGTCACAATTCCACTACTATATCTATTACTACTAAAATTACATTCCATGTATTTAGTTTTAGATTTACCCAAATAAAAACCTTTAGACTCTAAGGTTGACTTCTTTAATTCTTTTTTTTTTTCAAAAAGTCCCTCTCTAGTCTTATCAACAAGAAGAATATCATCAACAAAAAGCATACACTAAGGTATATCCTCTCAAAACTTTTTTTTTTTCAGAGAGCTCTACTAGGGTTTCCCTCGCACTCTCCTCTGGGTTTTACTTTGTGAGCTAGTGTCCTCTTCTTTGTGGCGATCATCAGGAAGTATCCTGGTTTTCTTTATGGATTTATTTTAATGACTTTGTTTTTTTTCCTTTTTGTCAGTTTGGGTTTTATTTGATTTTTCTCTTACCAGTGTTACTTTCTTCCGATGGCTGCTCCTACTAAAAGGGATTCCCCCTGTCAATTTAGCAACAAATCTTGTTGCATTTTTTGATCATGGGTTTCTTAACGGTGGTTTTAAAATCCGTTCTTTTAAAGATGTTATTTATGATTCTGCCTCTTCATATGCTTTCCATGATCTCAAGCCAACCACGCATTGTGGGATGATGGCCTTGTGGGTTTCGGAAGAGGAGGTGATGGATTTTGCCTCTCCTTTCTAGTTAGCCCTTGTTGGTAAATTTACCTTGCATAGACCTAAACTAGGTTTGATTCGACAACTCTTTTTTAACCTCAAGCTTTCTAGGAACTTTTTTATTACTATTATGGATTTGTGTTACGTTCTCATCAAGCTAGATAATGATATGGACTATTGTTGAGTTTTGAGCCATAGATCTTACTTCGTGTGCAATTGCTTCATGAAGCTAATTAAATGGTCTACCCAATTTGATATTTCAGTTGTCTATTTTCCAAAGCGTCGGCCTCATTTTTTTCTCCATGATTATTTTTATCTTGTGTAGTTTGTTTAGTCGACCCTTATAAATCAATAACGCCACTGTTATGGGCTCTCGACCCTCTATTGTAAGAATTTTGGTTAAACTTGATATAACCAAACATTATCCTAATAGTATCTGGTTGGGTTATAAAAATATTGTTATGTTCAAAAAGTCATTATGAATGATTTTCCTACTTTTTATGATCATTGTAAATCATTGGGTCATTTTAAACATGAATCTTTTCATTTAAACCCCACTCTTAAGAAGAACATATTATTTAAACCTAAATCTATTTTTTATACAGCTGCTCCTACTTGGCATGTGCAATGTGGTTTATCTAAGGAAGTTATGTGAACTATTGTTGAGACCAATTCTATTCAAGTTGACATTGGTATGGAGAATATTACTGATATCCATAATAAGATTCCTATTGAAGGTAAACATGGTCCCTCTAATTTAATTCCCAGGATGGTATTTATACTTCTTCCAATTCTCTTGTTCTATCTTCTCCTGTGGTTGTAACTTTTCCTCCTCCTCAACATAATGGAGCTACTAACAGTAAAGTTGAAGGTGATGGTGCTCACTATAATTTTTCTATTTATTTAGAAGTTTCCAAATTGGTGCCTTGCATTAATCTCCCTTTTTTTATTCATCGATTGAAAAGTTGGAGGAGCATTTGAAATATAAGGAGGCTCTTTCTTAAGGATTGCAGTGACGATCCTCAGGATTTATGCCCCTTGGATCATTCTTGTAATAACTGAGAGGAGGGGGAAATTAATTTGGCTAATGTGGATTTCTCTATTAATGATATGGATAAATTAAGGGTTATCAATTTTGATAATGTTACTAAAGATAATGGTTATTGGAAATCTACAATGAAAAAAAAAAAGAACAAAAAAAAAAATGAAAAATGTAGCCTCTGATGTTAGAATCACTAGATCTAACACTTCCTCTAAAAAATAGTTTTAATGGTTAGTTATTTAGTTTGGAATATTTGAGGTATTGGTTATCGAAAATCTCAAATGCATGTTTAAAATTTGTGCAAGATTTATAATATCTCCTTCTTGGCTCTTTTAGAACCTATGTTTGCCTCTTCTAAAATTAACAATTAGTAATGACAGTTGGGTTTTGATTGCTCTATTGCTATTTGTTCACGTAAAATTTGGGTTTTCTAGAATCGTGATATTAACCTTTCTATAGTTAGTAATTTTGATCAAGTTATTCTTTGCAATTTCTTTTTTCTCAAAATTTTGACCACTAGATTATCTGACTTTTCTTCCTAAAATTATGTCTTTGAATCAAACACGCTTTATCAAAGTGAAAAATATTATTAATAATGTTTTTCTTTTCATGAACTACTTCATGATATTGATAAAAAAGTCCATTGTCATAATATGATCCTTAAACTTAATATTTCAAAAGCATATGACAACATCAACTAGGAATTTTTGTTCAATGTTATGAAGATTTTTGTCTTTAATGCTATTTCCATTAACATTTTAGAAGCATTTTTGAAAATTCTTGGTTCTCTATTATTATATATGACTAGCCTGATGATTTCTTTAAAGGGAACCAGGGTGTTAGGTAAGGGGATCTTTTATCCCATACTCTTTACATTTTGGCGGCTAATTATTTATCCAGCGGCTTAACCCATCTTTTTTATGTTGACAAGAATTTTCATTATAGGAATTTTTTTGGATGTCTCATCTTTGCTTTGCTGATGATATCAACATTTTTTTTGTAATGGTTTTATCAATTGTGTGAAGAAGGTTAAGACATTCTTTTTGACCTTTGAAAAGGAAAGTGGTCCTAGTTTTAACAATGTTAAATGCTCCTTCATTATTTTTAAGGGGATGTCTATGGCTCAATGTGAGAATATTAAGTTATGCACCAACTTTTGTAATCAAGCTTTACCCATTTTCTACTTTGGTACCCCATTATATAAAGGCCACAAAAAGTCTTTCTTGCTTGATAATAATTTTAATGCTATTAATTGGAAACTCTCATCATGAGAGTTTAAGTTTCTCTCTATGGGGACAAGACTTCTTCTCATTAAGAGCACTTAGTGTTATATGCTTATCAATCTCCTTCAAACTGGTAATCTCCTTTAAGTATTTGTGTTAGATTGGAGAATGTTTTAAACAAATTTTTTTGGGGCTCATATTCCAAGTCTAATAGAATGCATTAGTCTAGCTGGGGGTAATTATCTGGTTCTTTTTTAGAAGGAGGTCTAGGCTGTAAGTCCATTTTTTATCTAGTTAAATGCTTTCCCTTCAAATTATGGTGGAAAATCAGGAGTAACAACTCTCTTTGGGCCAATTTCATGAATAAAAAATAGGGTAAGAACAATAATATAAACTCTTATTACTTTAAGCAAGTCCAATCTATGGGTTGGAAAAAATTGTGCAACAATAAATGGTCTTACGAATCTATTATTCAATGGAAATTCCATAATGGTTCTTCCTTCTTCTGGCAGGATGATTAGTCTGGTGGGGTTCTTTGGATTCCCACCTCAACACTCATTCTACCTCCTTATTGAAGTTTTCTTGGTTTATTATCAATGAAGGTTGGTCCGAAAATTTTCTTATTCTATATAATTCCCCAAATTTAGTGAAATCAATTAGCAATATCCCCATTAATACCTCTAGCAATGATCAAATTTTGTGTAAGTTAAATGAGCATGGGCTTTTAGTCTTAGCAAAGTTTGGCATTTTATTAAAAACAAAAAGATATTATCCCTATCTTTGGTAAGTTATGGAATTTGTCTACTCTTTTATCTTCTTCTTTATTAGCTTCTAGAATCTTGAAAGGGTTTAGTCCTATTGATAGGTTAATGCAAGATAAGGGCTTTTGTCTGGTGTCCAAATGCCAATGTTGCTATCATGTTGAGACAATACCTTTCGTTTTCTTGAATGGGCCAGTTT